TTCTTCTTTTTTTCTTGCGTCATCCTCAGAATCCATTAACAGAATCGGAAAATACAGAGTTAGAATCTTAAAAAAAAACCATGAGTAACCCAACAATTAAAAAAAGAGATCCAACTCGGAGTGAAAACTCACCAAAATTGCTCGACGTCGGACTGCTTATGCGCCACCGTGAAAACCTGACTCGTCGTTAGCTCTCCTCCCCTTTCTTTCTGTTAGTAGAGTTAATATGTACAAATCACTGTTCCTCCAATCACTCCTGCATCAACCAAAATCACGTAGAAGATTTTGGTATTCAAGAGTCAAGATATTAGAAGATCATGTATTTAATGTGTTTGTCTGTATAATACTCTTGTATGATCTATATATACTCTGTAAACTATCAATACCAAGTAAGAAACTTGAGCTGCTTTCCTACACAAGAATCAGAGATCTCTCCAATTATCTAACATGGTATCAGAGCATGAATCTGATTCCTGTGATGGAAAGCCCAAGAAGAAGAAAATAAAGAAAATATTTCGCTGTTGAGTTTCTAAACCATTCTTGAGTTCTAACCTATTGCCTTCCTCTGAATTTCTTCACTCTTCTGTCAACCTTCATCATTCTGTTCTTTGAGTCAACTTCCCAGTTGTTGTTTCCCTGTGTCTCCTTTGGAGTTTCCCTCTCAGCAGTTTTAGTCTGCCCAAATCATTTGAAAAAGAAAGAAAAAACTAATTTTCTGCACATCAGTCTGCCGCTTGTTTCCGCGTCCAAGCCCCCCAAGCAGCCGCTTCCACCAACCTCTGTCATTGCCTATCAGCCGCAGATTACTTGCTGCATGTCATCATCGAATTTCACTCGCAGACTTTGTTCTTGCGCAACCGTTGATCTGAAGACTGCCACTGCCAAAACAACCTCCGCTTCAAGTATCAACAACATCTGTTTCTCATTGATGCCTTGCTGCATTAGTCTTGCCGTACATAAGATCGGTGAGTCCCCATCACCACTGTCGGTCCTGTTGCCCTTCTTGCCTCTAGCTTCCTGTCGTTGGTGTTGTTCTCGTCTGCCTCTAGCGTAGACCTGTTGCCTCATTGTCCGCCGTTGCTGTTGCTCTTTCCCGTTTGTTCTGTAGATCTGCCCCACCACAGTGTGGGAAACACATTATTTACAGTATTTTGTTAGTTCGGATTATCATCGGTTTTTATGATTTTGGGTATTATTTGGGGTATTCGTGAATAAACAGGGAGTTGAATGTTAAGATTAATTAGTTGGGTAGTCATTGGGAATTAGGCAGACTATTTATTCTGTACTAGGGTCTTATTTTTCAGTAAGCAGCAAGTTAATAATATTCCTAAACCTAAACTCTCTCTCTCTTTCTCCTCTCACCAGCGCCGATCCCTCTCTTCTTCTCTCCCAAAAGCTGCGGCAGCAGCACTCCCAATTCCCTCTCTTCTGTTCCCAAATCCCCAATTCCCAATCCCTAGTGAGATCAATCCCTAATTGATCTAGCTAAATTCCCCAATTCCCATTCTGTAGGAAATCTTGTTTCCTACACACAGCCTCTGTTTTTCCTCTGGTCTTCGCACAACCGCCAACTAGCAAGCTCGCCGCCATCGACCAATCCACCTCTCGCATAGCTCCAATCGGCTTCTCCTGCTCCAACTCCCGAACCCAACCCTACTGCTGATCAACCTGCCCGATCATCGATTCACTTATCTATCGTCCCATAGTCGGGTTTGTTGGTAGTCCTCTGGACTCTCTCTCTGTTTCCCAGTTCGTTTGAGTCTCTCAACACCACATATATTTTTTACCTTTATGAATACCCAACCCCCACCGTCCCGAGAGTATCATGCCTGTCTTCCTCCATATTCACTCCTCTCCTAAGACCCGATGTCATCTCCTTTTTCTTTTATAATTATTTACCATTAAAAGTTTCACACCCATCAAAAACCCATCCCCGACACCTGTTTCTTCAGTGCTTCCATTATTAAATCCATTCCAGATTTTAAAGAACCCCACCTCACCCACTTAGCCACTCGTACTTGTTTTCCAGAACCCAACACTTGTGAGTTGTGATAAGTTTATTTATCATATGATACCTGAAATCTTGAAGTTCTTCTGAAAAGATGCCCAGAGTTTTCTTTAGTAAAGTGTCACATCTTTAAGATGTTTGGCCCTGTTTCTGTATCAAGTCCGCATAACACGTATGCCCCTTATCACCGGGGAGATGATCAGATTTACAGCCCGTCACCGAAGAGGTGATGATCTGATTTTTAGAAGTTTCAATCTGCATACTACATATGCCCCTATTACCGGGGAGGTGATCAGTTTTCAATCTGTTCCACGTCCTTCCATAGCACCTTCAGCGTTTTCAGTTTTTCACGCTCAGGTTCATCATGGTTAATTGGCAAACTCCAGTTGGTGCCTTCGTCCCCACCTAGAGTTTGAAAGGGGGTGTTAGTAGAGTTAATATGTACAAATCACTGTTCCTCCAATCACCCATGCATCAACCAAAATCACGTAGAAGATTTTGGTATTCAAGAGTCAAGATATTAGAAGATCATGTATTTAATGTGTTTGCTGTATAATACTCTTCTATGATCTATATATACTCTGTAAACTATCAATACAAAGTAAGAAACTTGAGCTTCTTTCCTACACAAGAATCAGAGATCCCTCCAATTATCTAACACTTTCCATCGATCGGACAAAAAGCCAATTACCCAGGATTTGAGATAACATCAAGCACAAACATGAAAAGAAAGAGACCATTCGAATTCCCGAAGATTGGAGGGACTAACGCTGACTTTGAGCTCTTGATTAACGTTTCCTTTCGATGAAAGCAAGGAAAATGTAGCGGAGTGAACTGACGGAGAGTTGGGGCAAGTAATGGGAAATTTTGATGGGCGATTTTTGCACAGGCGAACACTTTTGAATGCAGCTGGGAGGATAGTAGAAATGTCATTCTACTACAATGAGAAGATCCATCCTAGAAAAAATGGAAATCCATCCGATTAAAAAGAACGAAATGAAAATGGAAGCGACTTTCATAAATTGGGATTGGACATACTAACCCAGAATTCAGAACCTAAACGAAATACTGAGTAATCAGGCCAAATTAATCATATTCCTTAGCGTTCTTCACTTAGGATTACGGCAACATTGAAATTGAGATACTGACCTCAAGTATAAGGCGTCGCTCGAAAACCTGAAACTTCGTGCGTTGGAGATTGATTCGGGAATCCGACCGGAGAAATTGTTGTAACCCACATTGATATGTACCGAATTCGGCAGAGTGAACCCTATTCCTGGCTATAGACTCTGGAATCCCGACATGAATTCATTTTGAGCAACATAGATCGCCTGGAAGGGAGATGATGCGTTGCCGAAGGAGGGAATACGGAGAGGACGGTTACGGGAACAATTGAGGAAAGAGAAAATAACCCACCTAAATGGGCAGCCAGGTCATCTTCCAAAAATTACTTTAATTGTAGGGAATTTTGAATGGGAGTGGAAGTTTTAAATTTTCTTTTGATTTAGGGTAAACATGTCCGTTGATAAAAAAATATATAATTTCTATGTTTATCAAATGTTAACAATCACAGTTATTCAATAATAAAAAATTTAAAATCTTTTCTCAACAATCCAGAAAGTTACATCGAATCATTTTATTTATTTGTGATGGTTAGTCCATTCACGTAATACTTACTCTGCCTAATCTTTTCTTGTAATGAGTTTATTTGGATTTTGTATAAATCCAAAAACTAGTTCATGAGCAAACCACACCACAAATAAGCATGGTCCATGAAACCGTACCGTACCGGCGGTTCAACCACGAAATACCAGTATCGGAAGCTAAACCGGTAGGCGGAATTTAACGGTCTAATGGTTAAACTAGGGTTAAACCACAATTTTTCATAAAATATCATAACACTGACTTTTCCGGTACGGTTTCATGGACCATGCAAATAAGACCAGACAGACAAAATATGTACGGTCCACAAAAAAGCCCGTGTATTTCTTAGGGCTGCAAATGAGCCAAACTACTCACGAGTGACTCGATGTTCGGTTCGAAAAAAGCTCGTTTATGACTCGGCTCGTTTACTAATGAGCCGAGCTCAAACTGTGCCTTGTTCAGCTTGTAAAGCTCACAAGCCAGCTCGACTTAGTGTCTTGGTGAGCTAATTCGTGAGTTAGCTCAATCGTATGATTAGCGAGCCTCCTATACTAGCAACTGAACGGCAAATCGATTAATAACATATTAGTTGGCTTGTTGATAATTCATACATTTGCTAGATTACATATATCGGCATATATAATGCATAAGAGTATGAAGACATGACCAAATATGTGTCGTTTATGTTTTTAAAATGAAATTATGTATTATAAATTATTTAAATACTAATCGGTATCAATGAAAATTATATGAAAAATTAAAATTTATGAACTAAATGATATAATACCTAAGCTAGAGCCTATCACGCGAGCTAATTGATGAGCCAAACTCAAATGGAGCTCGTGAGCTCATTAACAAACCAAGCTCGAGTCAAACACCAGCTACGATTTTAGTAATTAAGCCAAGCTCGTACTCGACTTGTTAATTAACGAGTTGAGTTCAAGATAGGTCAAAATCATTTGCAGCCTTACTATTTCTTGTCACGTGTTCAGCACTCAATTTCCACTCTTTTTCGCCGCCGAATGGGAACTCGTGTGTGTGAGTTGTGACATAGCATAATCCTTTTCCGAGAAGGATTACATCACTCGTACTCTATAAATAAAGGGTCCGAACCATTCATTTAGCCCTCCTTCAATTTCCGACCAAAATCCGTCTCCTCGCTATGGCTATCGGGAGGAAAAGGAATCTCGACATAGTGGACGACTCGTCCATTGTCCCTGCCAAGCTCGCCAAGGTAGCGCCGCCGCCGCAGAACAACGGAGTAGCTTCTCCCATATTCGCCAGCCAAATCAGTGGATCCATCTTCAATCACTAGAACTGGAAGCCCTATTCCCAAAACTTCCACCACATACTCGACAAGAGGAAGACCCTCCCGATTTGGCAACACAAGGAGGAGATATTGTCCTCCTTGAAGGAAAACCAAGTCCTCGTTCTCATCGGCGAGACCGGAAGCGGCAAAACAACACAAATCCCACAATTTGTCCTGGAGATGATGATGGCGGAAGCAACCTCAAACGAGGACAAGAGAAGGAAGATGATGGTTGGATGCACTCAACCTCGTTGGGTGGCGGCAATGTCCGTGTCCCAAAGAGTGGCCGAAGAGATGGATGTCACAATGGGTGAAGAAGTCGGCTACACCATCCGTTTTGAAGACAAGAGCAGCCCTAAAACAGTGTTGAAGTACTTAACCGACGGCATGCTTTTGAGGGAAGCCATGACCGATCCGCTCCTGAAAAGCTACAGCGCGATCATTCTCGACGAGGCTCACGAGAGGACCGTGGCAACTGACATATTGTTCGGGCTCCTCAAACAGGTGCTGAGGAACAGACCGGATCTGAAGCTGGTGGTGATGAGTGCAACGCTGGAGGCTGAGAAGTTTCAGGGCTATTTCAACGGCGGAGCTCCTCTCATCAAAGTCCCCGGCAGGCTCCACGAAGTGGAGGTCTTCTACATCGCGGAGAGCCAGAGAGACTACGTTGAAGCGGCAATTCAGACAGTCGTTCATGTACATACGCCTGAAGGACCTGGAGATGTATTGTTGTTCTTGATAGGCGAGGAAGAGATTGAGGATGCTTGCAGAAACATTGCCAAGGAGAAGGGGAATTTGGGGGACCAGGTTGGTCCCGTCACAATCATCCCTCTGTACTCGACTCTGCCTCCATCCCTGCAGCACAAGGTGTTTGAACCTGCTCCCAGGACGAGGAAAATCATGGTATCGACCAACATTGCTGAGACTTCACTCACAATCGACGACATTGTCTAGGTGGTCAATCCAGGTTTCGTCAAGAGGAAAGTCTATGATGCTCGCGTTGGAGCCGAGTCACTTCAGGTGACCCCTATCTCCAAGGCTAGTGCCGAGCAAAGGAAGGGTCGAGCAAGGAGGACGGCCCCAAGGAAGTGCTACAGGTTGTACACTGAGAAGAGTTTTGACAAGGATCTACAACCGCAGACTGATCCTGAGATAGTTAGATCAAATTTAGGGTCTATTTTTCTGACGATGAAGAAGCTGGGGATTGATGACCTGGTGCACTTTGATTACATGGACCCACCTGCCCCCAAGACGTTGGAGCGAGCTTTGGAGATGCTGTACTACTTGGGAGCAATGGATGATGAGGGGAACTTGACTAGGCTCGGGGAGATCATGAGTGAGTTTCCATTTGATCCTCAGACGGCAAAGGCGCCGATTGTTAGTCCAGAGTTCAATTGCTCGAATGAGATCCTCTCCATTTGTGCTATATTATCAGTTCCCAATTGCTTTGTCCGTCCCCCCAAGGGGGAGGCTCGAAGGAAGGCTGCCAATGAAGCCAAAGCTCGATTTGCACATATCGACGGAGATCACCTTACTCTGCTCAACGTGTACCATGCATTCAAGTTGAACAACGAGGAACCTTTATGGTGCTATGAGAATTTTATCAACTACAAAGCCATGAAGTCAGCGGACAACGTTAGGCAGCAGCTCGTGCGGATCATGTCGAGGTATAACCTCAGGATGTGCAGCACCGAATTCAGCAGCAGGGATTACTACGTCAATATAAGGAAGCCGATACTGGCATGATGTTTTATGCAAGTGGCTCATCTGGAACGAAGCACCCGACACTACCTGACCGTCAAAGACAACCAAGTCGTGCACTTACATCCGTCTACTTGTCTGGATCATAACCCTGAGTGGGTGGTGTACAATGAATGTGTTGTGACTAGCAGGAGTTTCATCCGGACGACCACAGAGATTCGCGGCGAGTGGCTTGTAGACATTGCTCCTCACTACTACGATATGGAGAACTTCCCCGAGTGCGAAGCCAAGCTGGTTCTGAAGACGTTGTACAAGAAGCGGGAGAGGGAGATGGAGAAGAGCAAGAACAGAAGATGAGATGCTACCCTCCACATCCAGTCTTCCATGATTCAGAAACATGAAGTAGTAGTTCTGTACAAACCTTAAAAGGTGTTGAGAAATGTAGTTACTATGCTTTGATTGAGTACTGCATAAATATGAAATGTATCTATATTGTAAGCATGAGACAAGGAAAAATGGCATCCATCAGAATCTAATAGTTGCAAATTAATACTTTACTGACCATAGCGAGCCATCATATCCAATGTAAAAGAAAGCAGCCACCTGCTGACTGCTGTTGTATCTCGGATGCTATTACAAGTCTGATTAAAAAAGGATTCACAAAGCATCTTTTGAAAGATTTCAAGTGAGAAGTAGAGATGAGAGTTGCATATACAAGAGTTCAAATTACCAGGCAAAGCTTTCCTTCCAATGTGCGATTGATGGGAATATTATCATAAGGTATTTTCACAACTTCAGGGACGAGAGAGTAGTGAAGCAACATGCTGCCTTCTTCCGATCTTCCTCTTCCTCACAAATCTACAGCACTGAGTTCAAAAAATTTCAATCTCCACACAAACGAATCACACAACAACGACTCTAATAAGAAGCCAACATCGCCATTATCACAGAAATTCAGGAGAATTCACCAATTTGTTCACCTAATCATACAAAATTGAGGAAGAGATTGGGAAGTTTGGGGAACCTGTTGATGGAGAAATGTTTGAGTTGGGGGAGAAGAGCGAGCGCGAGAGACAAGTCAATGGCAGATGGATTCCGCTATGATGCATCGACAATCCATCTCTTCGCTCCTTTTTCCATTTTCGTTCTGGTACCATCGATGATGAGCTCTGTTGATCGACCGATCGGTAAATGGACTGTCGCCTATTGGCGTACACTAGGAGAAAAAGGAGTGCGGTCGGCGGCCGGTGGCAAGCCGGAGATGAAACCCAAAATCTGACGTGTTTCTAGTCGATGCGGGGTCGGCAGGCCTCTAAGCCCAATACGCATTGACAAATGGCAAGCCTCACCTTGAGCCCAAAAGTCCGATTGTTGATATACTTACGAGCTTTTGTAATTTGTTTGAATTTCAATCCATTAGGCCCAACCTTGCCACGCACCTATCAATCATGGATGTAGTTAGGGATCAACAATCAAATTCGCAACCGCAGCTACTCGACCGCTTTCGATCCAGTTAACGTTAGGGGTGGGCAAGCTATGCGGTCGAACCGTATCTCATCGCTTTAACATAAACGGTATCACGTGTGAGTTGGACCGCATTGAATATTTGACCGCAATTTAATTGATGCGATCAAATCACATCTCATTGGTATTGTGGTTTGGTGCAATTTAGATAACAATCGATATGGGCTAGGTATGATTGGATTGACAATGTGTTCAATTTCTACATTCAGACCCATAATTCATATCACGATTTGCAATATATAGAAGTTTCTTAATAGTATGAATAACAAAAAGTGAGACTTTCTTAATAGAAGTTTCTTAATTCATATCACTAAGAATCCCAATCCTTAATTTTGTTCAATTTTCTTCTCAATCAAATCTAAATTTCTTTCTAAAATCTATCATACTACGTTAATCTCGGATACAAAGATCCGTCCCTAGCACAAATAGGCACACTTTAACAACTAGCAACTACACGTACAAAATGATGTGACTTTGAGGTTTAGATTGCAATTTGATGTATTAATAAAATGTATGAATTTGAAAAATACTTTGTTTGGAGGTTTAGATTGTGATTTGTTATTGTTAAGAATAAGAAAATAGAGGGTAGACAATCCTTTGATCACAATCTCACCTTTTGGTAGAGATTGATAATCACTCATTTTCAGTGATTGTATGTGGTCCAGAAAAAGATAATACATGTATTCTGTCATAAATTTAACTAAAAAGCAGATTTAATCTTGACATTACATGCATTAGCTAAATATATCGCTTGAAATCCCAACTTCCAAACTAGCCTAAGATTCTAGGATCCGTACTTCTACTTGGGGATGAAAGTTTGGTTTGCGGCGCTGGTTAATCACACTCACAATTTCTAGATAGTATATTAGGTGTGATTAGTAAAATTTTGAAATTTGTAGTTAATGGTTACTGTTAATCTACAAAACCCACTATAACCACATTTGTATAACAAAATTTTCCTCCCGCATTAAGACTACCGTACTTATTAATAATATTGTATAATAAAAAGAGTAAGGAAGAATTTCATAAAATCCAAAATAACTGATTATCAAAATGAAAACTCATAGCATATAGACTCCAGGATTAATTTGCATTTTGTAAAACAAAACTTTTTGTCTCTTTTTTCTCTTCAACACAAAAGTCGAATACCAACAACACACGAGTGTATCATTATAGTCTAGTTGTGAATCACGGATTTGTTGGGCATCCACCGCTGAATGCGGGGCAAGTATAGATCTCATGGCTTGTTGAACACTTCCAGTTGGAGGTTAATTTAGGCCCAGACACTCTTGAAGATCAGGTGGAGCGGTATGCACGCGTCTACCTCATTGGCTTGGTTGGTGGATTTCTGTTCCCCGACAAGGCAAACCGGTGGATACAAGGCATGTGGTTCCCGTTGCTCCTCGGTGACTAGCACGATATTGGAAAAAATAGTTGGGGGTCGGCTGTCTTGGCTGTGATCTACCGAGAGTTGTGTAATTGCTCGAGGTTGGGAGCGAAACAAGTTGGTGGTGCAATGTTCATACTCCAGCTCTGGGCATGGGAGCATCTTCCGTTTTTCACACCTCGAGACTCACGGGAATTCTGGTTGCCAAATGAGGAGCTACGATTTGTAGCAAATCCCCCATATGGTTTCAAGTAAGTTTAATTTAAATTTACTTTATTTTAGGTATACAATGGTAGTATTTTAGTGAATATAGATATATTCCAAGTAAGCGAATTTAGATTCATTTTAAGTATGCAATTATAGTATTTTAGTGAATTTAGATATATTCCAAGTAAGCGAATTTAGATTTATTCTAAACAAATCGTATCTAGCAAATTTAGATTATTGCCAAGTAAGCAAATTTAGTTCAATTTAGATGCTTCCATAGAATCATACTTTCCAAGTAAACATCTATGCTTTAAAAATATCTTATATACGTACTTTTGCTTAATTAGGTGGATCAGAGCAAATACAAACGACCACCAGCCTGAGCACTCTTTACTGTCTTATCGTGCTGAATTTGATAAGCCTTGGTGGAACCAGGTAAAAATATAAAATTTCATCATTTTAATTTTTTGAGGTGGAGTGGATATAATTTGTTTCCAAATCATTAATGAGTGTAGGTGATATGGGATCCATATCCAAATGAAGCGGTCGAGTTGCATCGTCTTAGACATCCCGAGGATCGATCATCATGGTTGTGCAAGGTGCCCTTAATCTGCTGGCACATCGTGGAGTGGCACCTGCCCGATCGATCTTTGAGGCAATATCGATTGGAGCAACCAATTCCAGCATCCCTGCCTCAAGGTTTCAGGGAGCTCCACGCCATCGACCTACACTACAACAAAAAGGATTGGGTCCGCAAGCATGAATAGAGATCGGTGGGTGGTCCAAGGGGTGCTGGAGACGAGGCCAATGGGGTACCACTATGGGTACATGCAGTGGTATCGGAAATTCACGCTTAGATGGGTGTCAAAGCAAGGTGCTGTGTGGGGTTCAATGGTAAGTGAAATCCATTTTGCCGTCTTTGTCTTAATCTTTTGTAGTATGATTACATGCCTAGATTGGATAGAATTTTATTTAACATTATTAGATTTAATTTAGTTAATTTTTGTACAACAATTTATTAGGTTGATGGTTTGGAACATACCAAGCACACCGTCGAGAGTGCACCCACCATGGACGAGCGGAAGACATCTTTTCTGCGGAGGCTTTTCAACAACCTGCTCTCCTGTACCCGAGAGCAAAGGAGGGATGTCGTATTATACCCTCCAATGCCTGCTCCGGCCCGACCTTCATTCCGTGATATTGAGAGGATCGTGCACTCACAAGAGCCCTCACGGAGGAGCAAAAGAAGGGCTCAACCCAACATTGAAGAGCTTCGTCCGACTCAACAAACACAACTTCCTAAACCATGGCCACATTGCGAGTGGTTAACTAGTACTGAGGGCACCGGAGGGTCGTCAAGCTATGCCCCATCTCAGGAAAATGAAATGTTCCCACAAGGGTTCCCTCAATTCCACCATCAGCAACAGACTCTGATGTATCAGACCCCGCAACAACAACCTACAACATCGACCTTCTACCACGCTTCTGGTTCATCTCAGTCACCTCCACCTCCTATATTGTACACTCCGGTGGGGGGTCGGGTTAAGAGGAATCCGCGAGCAGTTGTCCAGCGGGCTCGTGAAGGAGGAGGAGGCAGAGAAGGCGGAAGAAGGGGTCGAGGACGTCGTGGAGGAAGAGGAAGAGAAGGGGAAGGGGAAGGAAATGAAGACAACTAGTGAACTGTTCATGTTTAGTTATGTCTTGCGTTTTTCATGAACTATCTATGTCGTCTTAATTTGGTTTGGTCTTGTGTTGTTTTCCATGAACTATTTATGTCGTCTTAATTTAGTTTGGTCTTGTTTTTTATTTTACCACCCATATTGTACCAAGATAAACAAAATCCATCATCATTACAATCACTCAACAAGATTAAAACAAGAAGTCCATAACATATTTGCCAATAACCGCAATTCACTAAATACAAACTTATAATTTCTAATACATCAACATGTAAACAATACATAATCATAACATACCGAATCCCGATGACTTTCTTGTTGCTGTAAACCAACTCCAAGCCCGCTGAGAAAAGGAAAAAAAAAACACTATTTTTTTTACTAATTTGCTATAAGGCAGTTGGGGGGACGTGAGGGTTGGGTTTTTATAAGGAAATTTTAGGCCTACTCACCGCAGTGGACAATTGTCGTGAACACATCACCACTTTTGACCAAAACGGTGATAGTCAGGTCGTTGTGACCTAATCCTCCACCTACCAGGGTTGTAAAACGTGGTAAAAGATCACCGTTTTCGACGAGGCGGTGATGTAATCACCGTTTTGGTGAAACGCGGTGATAGTTATCACTGTTATAAATGGACGCGGTGATGTTAAAACCGTTTTTACTATAGCGGTGAACACATAATCGCGATTGTTCTAAACTGTGATACCTTCACCGTTGTCCTTTAAAGTGGTGATTAGCATCACTGTCTTCGTCAATAACAGTGATTGGTCAAACTGCTGTACTTTGGAAAATACTTTTATAACTACTGTATTTTGGGAATTTTTTATAATAACTAGAGTATTCTGAGATTTTCCCCTAAAAGTGAAACACTTCACCTAATAATACAGGTTTCCCTTTCCCACTAGTACATGCATTATCGAGGGAAAAATCCAAAAATACCACTGTTAAAAAAAATTACATAAACACCACCTAATGGAAACAATTTCCACTTCTACCACTATTTCCCAAAAACTGCCGCTTAGGGAGACGGTTTATGTGAAAACCGCGCTCCAAGGGGCCGGTTTCTATCAAACCCTAGCAAAACCGCCTTGGAAAGAGGCGGTCTTAGTGACCGTCGGATTAGGAGGTGAACCGACGGCAGACCGTCTGCCAACTCAGCGGTCCGTGTAGTTGGGCTGATAACCGCCCCCTCCAGCGGCGATTTGCGTGAAAGAAACCAAAACCGTGGGTGGAGGACACGGTATTTGGGTGTCAAAATTACAAAACCGCCCCCACCCCACGGTTCTGAAACTATAAATACCCCCCTCCCCCTCACCATTTTTTTCACACCAAAACTCATTCTCCTCTCTCTCTCTCTCTAAGATTAGTTCTCTCTAACATTCCCCTCCCCACCCAAAAAACTAGGAAATAGTGGTCTGTTGGTTGCGGCTAAGTCCGAACTGCCATCAGAAAACATTTCCGAGTTTTTTCCTTCAAAACCCGTCGAATCTCTGTCCGGTTGCTGAAAATATGGCCGATTTTAT